GAACATTATATATGCGAACAGCACGAAGAATTCGCGGCAGAAAAATGCAGGAAAACGTGTGGATATTGCGGAGGTGGAGGATGTGAGTGATTGAATTTTACATTCCATAGGACTGCGTTTCATAAATGAATGAGATCCGCTCTCTTTTACCGGAGGGCCATTTAAACAAGCTTTTTTGAACATCTTGCCGCATCGGTCTGGTAGAAAAGTTGTCAAACAATGCCTACAAGAAATTGATCGATTAGTATAACTTTCAAAAATTTATGGTCAACCAGTACTGACCGTTCGACAGATATTGAGTTGCTGCTTGTGCAGTAGGGGAAATTGTAAACAATTGCTTTGGAGGTCAATTGAGATGAATTAATATTTTTACACTGTGGTTAAAATGAAAGTGCGCTGAATAGTATTCTGCAAAGAATGAGTGTTTTGAGACCGTACAAAATTTTCATTCAATGATCATCATAAGTCTTTCATCACACTATCAACGGCCAAGACCGAATCTCGATTGAACCATTTATCCATTCCTCCGATTCAGATTCACCTGGTCAAGTTGACCGAGCAAACAGTGCTGATGAGCCGTCAGCGCAAAAGAATGATGACCGTCGTTCCAGTCCATCGATAATGGCAATCTAGAGTTGATTATTAGCGGCCTACTTTATTAGTGTTTGTCAAATTCACAATGTCATTCATGTCATAAATCCGAATCTGCATCTATCGACACTCACAAAACGCAGCGCATCCCTCAGGTCAATATTCTTTACGTCGGCCGTGCCCACGCACGGGTGCTCCATTACTCAATTTGATGGTCCTGCAGGCCGTTAGCAACTCACCCTCCCCACTCCCGCTCCAATGATATACTGCTTATACGCATAAGTTTAGAATTAATTTTCGGACCTCCTTCAATATCCTCTGACAGTTGCAACTTGCGTGAAAATGGGTAATTTCCCCTTGTTTTGACCCGTGCTCTTCGTGGTATTTCCAATCATTTTACACACCGTGAGGAATTGCATCAGTAGCAATGTTCTCGATGATTTACTGAAAGACGAGCAGGGCTAAATCTATAACGTAATTAATCATATGAAATGCCATCTTTCTTTTCATGCTGGTGTGCTTCTCTTCGGTTCGTTGCATTGTTGCTAAATAAACGTTTCTAACTTCGCTTCCGTTCGAACTGAACTTTGCCTANGATCACATTTTCTCCACTCATTTGCTCATTGAATCACGTCGAAATGCTGCTGTTCATGATTATTTGTTTAAACATATCTCCTGCATTTTCAAAACCATTAATATAGTCACTTATTGAGATTTTCCAGATAAAGTTGTAAATGGAATTTTATTGAGGTTGCGAAGCGTTTATGCGTACGGTAGTTGGTTACAGTTGATATTCCTTTGGAGAAAGCTCCAGTAAAAAGCCATATCAAACAGTTAACCATTATTTTGGACATTGGGGAGCAACTGTTAGAGTTAGGTGATTTTTTGACGCTTTCTATTTGTGAAAGCCCATGTTATTCAAACAATGCATTAATTTGTTCGTTGTTATCCACCACGATAAAAACCTTCAGGCTCAATAAGGGAAAAGCAACGTTATATTCATGGAATGAATATCTTCACATTTCCCATACCCTTATGGACTTTTGCATTCCTGGATATAATGAAATTACTGACTTCCTGGAATGCAAATTAAATGGAGCATTTCATCACAACTCATGCAACGGATTTTGTCCATTTCGTGCCATGCTAGGTTTTGACGCTAGTATTTGTGTTGATTTTCAGTGTGGTGAGTATTCAATATTATTCGTTTCAGTTTATCACTTACACACATCAAATCGTAGTCTTCTAATGTTTTAAAGACACTCCAAATATGCGATAAATTTAATTTACAAGTTATTGTATAATCGAAGCATCATGGAAATGACACATGATTACGATCTAGTCAACTGACAAGAATTGATTTGTATCCACTATACATCATTGCATGCAATGATAACACAAGCATCGTTGAGAGAAACTGTGATGCGACATTAAACGACGAAATGCTGAAAGATTGTTCAAATGATCTGCAAATTATNCGAATTGCCATTCATCGCAATATAACATCTCGCTATTATGTTGGAATGCGAGTTACATTTGTTGCATTATCAACACATCATGAAAGCGATACAGGATTACGATCTCGGCAACCGATAAACATTCAATTGAATCCACCATAAATCATTGCGTAGAATGATAATGCAAGTATCACTGAAAGAAACTGAGATATAGCAGTGATAGAGGAAATATTGGAAGTTTTGAAAGCAAGCAAAAACTGAGAAAGCGAAAAATGTTGATCCTGCAGATATTCGCTATACCTCTATTGCTTTTGAATGGAAATTATGTGATGAGAGAGCATGAAACGCAATATTTCACGACTATTCGCTTACTGAAAACCTGGTATCTAGACGAGAGAATGTGGAGAGGAGAGAATGACGATGGTGAACGATCGACTGCATAAAAAGGCATGATTCTGTTACGATACATCAGTTCGGATATCATCAGCACGACTTGCGCTCGATCATGCAACAGGCTCTTTTCCTCATTGCTATATTGTTCTGCATCGGTGCAGCTTCAGCACAAATAAGACCAAGTTAGTTATTTAGTGATCAAAAAATTATTCAACGTGTTTTTTCTTCTTTTTCCGAGATGAATTGTTGATGAGTCAATGATGAGTTATTGTTTGATCGGATTCGTGAACAATTCTTGAATGAATTTATTGGCAGACTGCGATGCATCGTGTAACAACAAGTTCCCTGCAACTATTCTTGAACAATCGATGATAATCGTTCAGCACCTATTTTATTTGTTTATCAGAGAGGTATACAGATCCTGTTCAGGAGGACGTGGAGGGAGCGTTAGCGGCGGCGGAAATGGAGGATATGAATATCTAGAATGCAAAGATACTCACTCGTCCTGTCAATCCGTTGAAGATATTTGCGTGAAGCATCAAGAATTCGCCGCAAAAAATTGCAGTAAAACGTGTGGATATTGCGGAGGTGAGTGATCAAGTTTTACATTCAGATGGACTATATTTGGGCAGAGAAGGAGATGTTCCTGTTGTGAATTATTGGAAGATCATTTCAACACATGTTTTTGAACATTTTCACGTATTGATTAGGATGAAAATTGTTCTACGAGAAATTCATCAATGAATATAATTTATGAACATTCATGATCAATCATCACTTAACAAATATTGAGCTGTTCACTGTTCAATGTGTAATACCAAATGGTCATCACACCCGCTGCTTGAAAAAATCCATCCAATAATGAATTTTAAGGACGAGAGGAGTGGCATACTTCCTCCACGAGCAATGCATCTGAAATTATGCAAGGAATCTTTACTTCGAGCGATTACTTTGACACTCTTCTGAAACTCATCATATATATGATAGACAGCGGCATCGATTACTTCGATTTACCCGATCAAGGTAATCGAGCAAACGCTACTGATGAGCAGTCAACGCAGCAGCCAATGCTAGAGTGTGCAATTGATCATCCGGAATACTGCATACATTTAGACACATCTGATCAAGTGAACCGAGCAAACGCTACTGATGAGCAGTCAACGCAGCAATCAACGCAACTGTGATCCCTTCATCAAAAGCAGTTCTGCATTAATCGGTACTAGAAAACGCAGTCCTATCTTACGTATATCCCATCCCTTCCATGGTATTAACGGTATTTCGAATCTGGTTCACATCTGATTAATCTTATCAGGGGTCATCTTTCTTTTGTTGGTGGTATACTTCTGTTCGGTTTTTTGCACTGTTGTATGTTTTCAATAAACGTTTCTAACTTTGTTTCCATCTTCCATATGATCGAATTTTTTCCATTCCATTGCTCAATAAATAACGTGGAAATGCTGGTTTTGAATATCGGATCAAAAACATCTCCAGAATTTTCAAGAACCAATGCTACAGTGATTCATTGAAATTTTGCATGTAAATTTGTAAGTGAAATTTTATTGACGATGAGATTGGCAAGGCACTTCAATGTATTATACGATAAATGTTCACAGGCCCAATAAAACAACAGCAACGTTATATTTAATAAAGGAACTGATAATATTCCTTCCCATTCCATTAAGAGTTACCGAAGAGAGACATTTACATACATGGTATTAAAGAAATCAGTGATTTCCTGGAACGCAAGTCGAATGGAGGATTTTAGCGCAACTCAAGCAACGAATTAAGTCGGTTCAATGCCAAACAACTGATTTGGTTAATTTAATAAGTTCAAAACCATGAACTGAAAACAAACACACACCAACATCTAATGCGGATGCAATGTAAAATGCATTCCCTTCCCTCTCTCTCAAAAAAGTACGTTCTAGCTTCATGAATCGGGAAGTCCTAAGTCAAGAATTTTTCAAGTTGTCATTTTTAAAAAGATTTTCTGTTGTTTCACACACACGATAGACAAACTTTCAACTTAATTACTCATCGTCACATCTCTACATTTCTCGATAGCGGTCAAAATTGTCACGCTCAACCCTAAGTGGGATAAGACTGATGCTGGCATTCCTTAAGACTTCGCAACCTTAGTGCTTAGATGTTGACGTATTAGGCGATATCTTCGCACCTCAATAAGTCCATTCAGAAGATACAGACATTTTTCATTGTGCAAGAGATGATTCAGCTGAGTGTATCAAAAATTATGTGATTACTGCCATGACTGAACGCAGTAATGGCTTGAATATGGTGATCTTTAGTTACTCAATGTGAAGCATTTGCTGGCTTCAAGAAAGTATCCCTCCGATTGTCATAGGTTTTCGGCTTTTATTTTATAATAACAAAATGTAATTCATATTATCGAAACGTACAAACACAAATGAGAGGAGATCCTCCAAATGAGATACACCAAAGTTACATTTCATCATCCGAATCGATAGTGCATTATATCCGTGTACATCTTATACATGTACAGCTAACGTACAGCTTTCAAGGTTGAATTTATACATAACTTTGGTGTCCCTCATGAATCGTCTCTTTCGCGCTGTGTCGCGACATACTTCCGTNCATTATTCGTCGATAACATTTGAACACGCAACAAAAACATGCCCTGTCTGACGCGAAGATCGTTATAAGATGGCAATTCTAATTCTCCTATAATCGTGGATCATTGATCAATCGTAAGGTGCCAAAGTTGTGGGTCCAAAGCTGGGGTCACCTTAAGGTGGAAATTATCCATTTTTGGGTAATTTGGGGATGTCTGGGGGCTATTATTTCTATATGTTATGTAGGTCGGGAAATTATTATTCCTATATATTATGTTATTTGGGGCAACTGGTGAATATGGACCGAGATATGAAGCCCGAACTAGCTCAAAGAATACGATCCGGATGGAAGGCGTTCAACTCGATAAAGGATGTGCTAAAGGCCAAAATTGATGGATCTCTTCGTGCCCATCTGTATAACAGCACAGTCTTGCCCGCGATGCTCTATGCATGCGAAACGTGGGCAACGACAAAAACAGAAGAACAACGACTTATAACAACACAGAGGGCAATGGAGAGATGTATGTTAGGAATATCGTTGCGTGAGCACATCCGATGCGAGGAGATACGCCGGAGAACTGGGATAAGCGACGTAATCACAGAGTACAGGAAACAGAAGCTACGATGGGCAGGCCACGTAGCTCGAATGAATGACAACAGGTGGACCCGAGCAATTCTAGAATGGTACCCCCGAGAACAAAAACGACCGCTCGGAAGACCTCCAAAAAGGTGGCGAGACGAGATCGACAAGGCGATTGGTAAGACCTGGCAAAGGAAAGCAAGGTCGAGGACTGATTGGAAACGCATTGTGGCCAGCAACGTCAACAACGTTCGATAGCCTGGCCGGTTCCAGTATTCCAGTATATATATTATGTTATGTAGGTCGGAAATAGGTCCGAAATATATTATGATAAAACGACGTTGTGATGTTGCTTTTTTTCTCTGGTGTGTTTACCCTGTTCGACGATATCAATTTTTGTTCCTCCTATTTTTTGAGTGTCTCTAGCTTTTCTGGACCTGAATGAAAGTCAGTTTAAGTAGACACAACTATTTCGCAGGTTTTTTAACACATTGACTGACATCGTCTTCCATGAACAGTGGGAACTGATTGGTAGAAACTAATATTTGATGGAATTATTTTGTTACGATGAAAGGCCACTGTGGTAGTAGTGCAGTATGCGGAATTTCAGTGATTCCTCAGCGAAAATCCCCGATCTTCCCCGTCCCGGCTTTCTCCCAGCCGCAACCAAATATCTCTGATTTTCCCATCCCCGACTTTTCCAGAACTGTCGGTGTTCCCCGAAATTTCGGGGAATTTCCTGATTTTCCACAACAGTTAAATTTTTGTTGCTGTATGGTGGAGTTGGGAATGTGTGTCGCGACTGTTGTGTGGTAAATCATAAAAATTGTGACAATATGCAGAAGTCTAATCTCTAATTAAGGAAGCGATTACGTGAGAAGTGTATGGTGTGGCGACTGGCGCGAAAAACCGGGATAACTGAATAAAAATGATGATTGAATCGAAAGAAGATAGCACTTAAATAAAAATGAAATGATTGTGCGCAGGGTCGGTAGTGTACTGGGGTAACTTTGGGCTCTGAGGGTCCGATCTGTTCAGAGGCGTGTGTTCGATTCCACGACGGTCCAAAATGATCGACGAATTTCGATATCATTGTTAAAAAGAAATAACGAAGGATCAAAATAAAGAGAAATTGGGAAGGGCTCAGTTACGACATTTGTGAGAGCGCTGTTACACTTGATTCAAAATGATATCAGTATTTATTAGCAGATATCACACAAAGAATTATTTAGCAATTCATACATGCCAATGAGTAATATAACGGAGGTCTCATCCCATTAAGAACCTTCGTTATCTCTCCTTGAACGGAAACATGCAAAAGCCGTCGATCGGCTGAATTCACCACAAGCCGTGTTTGTATCGCTGTAATCGACAAGTGATTGTACCCGACAATGTTCCTTTTGTATGGTTTTATTTTATCTATATCTTAGAGCGCTATTTGTCTAATCACTCCATCACTTTCTCTGCTTTGTGCAGAGAAATGAAAATGGAGAGATGACGCTTGTCAGTGGGATTGTCTCAATCGATCTGAACTATCATTCCATATCCGCAGTTCTTTCCTTAAGTTCTTCCTATAAATGCATTTCTCAAATTCCTCTACGGAATACCATTGCCTATATCACAACTTACAAAACATTTTGGAATTCAGCAGCCATTATATTCTCATTAAGAAAGTGATATCATGTTCATTGTGATTCTGAGATGAATCAGTTGCCATCCATGTCATGCACGTAAATCATCACCATTTGTAATCCTCATACCCCACAGACAAATACTAAACGTTAATTCATATCCACAACACATTACTGCGTGGAAT